CTAAACCCAGGTTGCAGCACAACAAGCTTGGCCAACTATCCATGGAAAGCTGTTTGTAATTTGCCCCAAGTGCGGAGAGTTCAAGGTGAAGAAAGGAAAAGGGAAATTTAAGTACCTTTACGTGAATTGCTAGGAATCTTGAACCATTTCCTACAACCATGAAAGATACCCGACAAGAGACTCCCTTCCTACCTAGGATATCATTATGTGAGTCGTGCATTAAGCAGATAGCCAGAGACAGAATCGAAGGGAATAATGTGGCGGCACCTGGAGAGCAATTAATAGCAAATCCACAGCCTACCTTTTTCGCATTGCTAAACTGGGTGGCTTCCCAAAGAAGATAGTCAGGCTAATCGAAATTCCCAGCCAGCGTGAGCGTCTCAAACGGTGTTGGTCAAAAAGCACAAACTGGAACTCCATTGGGTTGGTTCTTCCCCACTTATGCTTAATTGATCTGCACTAACAGTGTGATATAATAGACTACCAGGGACCTCCGGAAGAATATAATCTCTCTCATTTATTGGGCTAGTGGGCTTGCACTGGTAGAGGTAATGGTGAGGTTAAGCGCTGGACGAATACTGCTTATCTTTGCGAGTATTCAATCGGGACCAAGAAGATATTTGAGACGTACATGGCTACCCTGGTCAAATACAATATTATGCTATTGCACTTAACTCACTGCATAGTCCCTCTTCAGTCTGTCTCTGGGACTACGATCACACGTTGAGATATCCTAAACTCTGTTTCTAGTGTTTCCACGGCGCTAGAGCCAAATTTCATCAACCTCAGATTGGTTTTATACGGCACACTTCATTTCAATTAGATTCCAAAGGAAATAAATATAAGCCCGAAGTTCACAAGTGAGAGGAATTTGGAAAAAAAAAAAAAAAAAAAAAAAAAAAAAGTAGGATAAAGAAAAGCAAAGACGAGGATGCTGTATACTTCGGATATTGGATTATCCGGGTCGATTTTCTTCCGCATCATCTTCCAGCCGCCGACACCAGCGGTGACGGCTCCATATTCATTTCATACAATTTCATACAGCTTTTTGAAAAAGAACTCGCTTCTTTTTCCCTTCAGCCATGCCTCGCAACAACAAAAAGGCCAAAAGTGCCCCTCCATCACGTCCTCGCGGACCAGGCAAATCATCTGGCCAATCTTCCAACCCTGCCAAGGGACAGCAGCATGGCAATGGGCAAAAGCAGGGTAGTGGCAATACCAATGCACCTAAGAAAGCTTCTATGCAAGCAAACCAGAGACCTATCGTGCCGTTTTTGAGGAAGGATCGCATCCTCTTGATTGGTGAAGGTGAGCTTTTTCTTCTGTTTTAATTGACTATATCACCCTGCGTTCTTCAATTTATGCAAGAATTGTATTGCAATCAATTTCGACACATATATTTCCTCGCAGGGTCCATCCCCAGAGCTGTGTTTTCACTTTGATATATGAAATTGAACCAACATGCATTCTTATATAAAAATAAGAACATGCAACATGCTTCAACCCCGATTTATCTATTATATCTGGAAAGAATAAATTCTAACAACCACTAGGTGACTTCTCATTCGCCCGTTCTCTGGCAAAGCAATACAAGTGCCGCAACCTATGCGCCACATGCTATGATTCCAAGGAAGCACTGTACAACAAGTACCCGCAAGCTCCTCAGAACATCTCAGATATCCTGAACGCATCATCAAAGCCAAAAGTAGAAAGCAACGAGCCCGAAGAGCAGCCAGAAGAGAGCAAATCCGAAGAGCAAGACTCAACCAATCCCAATCCCAACCAGCAAACTCCCAAAGTCATCTTTTCCGTAGATGCTCGCAAACTCGGCACTCCAGCAGGCGGCGGCAAGGAAATCCGCACAGGATTCACCCGCCGCGAGCGCAAAAGACCGGCCTGGTACCAGCAGAACGAGCCAGCAGGACCACCATACCAGCCCGGCGGGCCGTGGGATGTGATCTGTTTCAATTTCCCTCATGTGGGCGGACTCTCTACGGACGTGAACCGACAAGTTCGCGCGAATCAGGAGCTGTTAGTTGCGTTCTTTAAGGCTTGTGTTCCTCTTGTTTCGAAGCCGCCGCCGCTCATGGATGCCGATGATGATGAGTGGGTGTATGCTGATGGGGAGGAGAGTGAAGAGGAAGATGAGGATGAGGATGATGAAGGAGGAGAAGGGGAGGAGCTTGGGAAGGATGATGATACTACCGGGAAGGGATTCCGTGTTGGGCCTGGTCAGATTCTTGTGACTCTGTTTGAGGGGGAGCCGTATACGCTTTGGAATATTAGGGATTTGGCGAGACATGCGGGACTGGTTGTTGTGACTAGTTTCCGGTTTCCTTGGACTTCTTATGAGGGGTATTCGCATGCGAGAACGGCGGGACATATTGAAGGGAAGGATGGGGAGCGTGGAGGATGGAGGGGGAGGATCGGGAGGCTCGGATGTATGTCTTTGAAGTGAAGCAGAAGGAGCCGACGAAGAAGGGAGGAAAGAAGAGGAGCAGGGATGATGATGATTCTAGTGATAGCGAGTAAGGGCTGGAATGTATATTATCATGCTTTAAAATAGAACTGTATAAAGTGGGCTGTAGCTTAGCTTGTTTCATCCTTCTGCTCGAATTCACGTTCACATTATGTACACTTTCTTCATCTCGCTCTCTTGGAAAACCTCTCCTGTTGTTGGGTCTTTGACGGTGCCTGATTCCACTGATCCCATCTTTCTGCTGATCTCGATTAGCCTTTGCTTCCCGTAGACTCGGCCGTTTGGTAGAACTATTGGGTCGCTTTCCACATAACTCTTTGAGTGGTGGGCGTATGGCATCTTGCGTGCAAGCTCATTCAGTTCGGTGGAGCAGATAGGACACACAGATGTCGACGTTGACTGTGAGTTTGAGCTGGATGATGTAAATGCTGAATGGCATAGAGGTGTTTTGAGAGCGGAGAGTCCTGCAGACAGTGCAATATGTAATAATGGCTGTGATGGCAATGAAAGTAGCTCATGGTGAGTCTGAATGAAAAGCTGTGCGAGATAACTCCAGCGGCTCAGCGCAAAAAGAGACTATATTGCATCAGTAAAAAGTCAACTAATCAAAAATGAATGTTTGTCTTACTTTGTAAGGCTCGGCTCTTGTGTCTTGTGTGAAAACCAGTAATCCTGCGGCGCGCATAATCTCAGAATTCTGAGATTGATGGTTGGATATGAGGTATTTCTTTGCATGAATTATTGCCTCGATCTTCTTGGACTTGTCTTGTGTCCTGACCATCTCGATATATTGCTGCAACCGGAGTTCGAATTCAAGATTATGCTTTATAAACGTCAAGTTAGCTGAGATTCAAGACAGCACAAGTTTATTTCAACATACCTGGCTCTTCTTCAGTGCGGCCTTATTCTCTCCGCACCACTGCAATGCCTCTTTGGTTTCCCCGCGCCGCAAGCTATCCACAACCCGTTGGCACTGAGTGAATACACCAAGATCCACGAGATCCTCCACCCCCCTATCCTGGGCCAGCTGCTTGGCGCTTTCAGAGTAACCCGAGCGCAGCATGTGGTCAACGAGTAAGCGGTCCAGCCGTACCCTTGACCACTGATCGTACTTGACATCGGCTAGACTCGGTATCTTGTGCAGGGCCTCCAAGTGCTGAATGCGCTTGCGAGATTGGTTGTGGATTTTCTTCTCTTCCTGCTGTAGACTCTCCATTTTCCTTTTGAGACCTTGCATTCTGGATATCATTGCGTCGAGAGCAGCGAGGGTCTGGTCAGGCGTTTGGGTGTTGGAGAGTGAGGCGGAGGCGGTCTCTTTGAGTGCGGGGATGACATATTCCTTTTCTCGTTCGACGGCTCGTTGTACGGTTTTGAAATTCCTGCGGGCAAGTTCATGTGGCAGTCGAAGGAGTGGTTGGTCCTGTGTAAGCACCTCGATTAGGATCCAGTTCATCATAGAGGTGCGGAGTAATTGTTACCAAGATGATGTGACTCTCTGGGTTGAGCTTGGTGGATGTCAGCTCTGCTGCCATGTTGATGAGGCTCAAGTCTCTTTTGCTCTTAGATCCAAGTCCGAAGGATAATAGTCGAGGATTACGGTCTAGACATGAAATGGAGGGGAGGTAAATGCGGAGAGAACGTCCACTCCAGTCACGAGATCTACATCGAGGACAAGCATTGACCGCCTCCATTTGCGGTTACACCACACGATCCTACTCCGTACAGAGTACGGTCTTCTAAATAATTTCACTAAAGTTGATTCTAAAGGGGCATTGAACAAAATAGGTCGTACAAAATATATTATAGTATGGATCATCATAGTGTAGTGTGAGGTTGCCAAAACTCAATTCGATTATAGTGTATATATATATCACAAAAGGGTATCATACATGGAAAAGTCACTTGGTACATACATTTCAAGTCAAATAAGGAGAATATTTAGAAAAAAACACTACCAAAGAAGGCATCTTAAGGCCACATAAGCGACTATTCTTGTACTCAACCATCGCCGCTTTTTGATATCAAAATGTCAATACCCCATCTAACGAATAACGCCTGACTTCCTTTCAATCCCATTTCCCTCAAAAGAACCAGCTTGGTTTGCGAGGTGTATACCAGAGCCCTCCCAAGCAAGTTTCATACATAACTTTTTGTATCGTTCATTTTTGAGATAGGAAAGGTTACAGACATGATCAATGAGCTAGAGCCTAGTTATGTTGTAAGCGCCCTCGTGAAGTTAACAAAGCTTTATCCTGTCTATATAGCTGCATATATATTTCCGAGGTCTAGCTAATACTCTTGGATATAAACCCAAAAAATAACGCCGTGAACAAAGCAAAGCGCCACATGTACGTAATTCACTTGCTAACGTTACTCAGATTTAAAAGAATGGTAGATTCAACAGATAGGCAGCCTTCAATATGAAACTCTGGAATAGAACAAATTTCCCTTTTGACCCAAGACTCCGGAAATAGCAAAATATGGTACAGGAAAGGGACCTGACGGCCTTCCTGGAGTGCATCTAGTCGCTGTCGTCGCTATCATCCTGCTTGGACTTCCGGCGCTCCTTCTTCTCCTTCTTCTCCTTCTTCTTCTTCTTGCGCTCGGCCTTCTCTTCGGCTGTCTCGCCGTCGCGCTTGCGCTTCTTGTCTTCGACCTCCTCCTTCACGGGCTCGGGGGACTCCGCCTTGGGGGTCTCGGTCTCGGTCTTAGTCTCGGTGGCGGGGGCAACAGCGGAGGTTCCGGTGAGGGGAAGGTTGAAGTCCTTGTACTCGCTCTTCCACTGAGCGGGAGTAGCATCGTTGGGGCGGCCGTATTTCTGAGAGGAAAGTTAGTAAGCTGGTACGGAAGCAAAGGCAGTTCAACCACTTACATCGAGAGTTCCGGCGGTCTTCATCTTCTTCTTCTCAAGGGCAGTAGGTCCCAAGCCCCAGCGGCGGGGGTAGAGGTCACGCTCCATGATGCAACGCTTGACCTTGGCAACAACGCCGTGGTCGCAGGTGGTGAGCTCGACAGTGGACATCTGAGCGATACCAATGGCGATAGCCTCACCCTTGGTGGTCATGAGGACAACCTCCTCGTGGCACTCAATACCGGCCTCTGAAGATGAAAAGTTAGTAATGGCCCGGAAATAGAACTCGGGGGGGGGGCATGTTCACATACCGTAGCGGAGAAGACCAGGAATCATGAGCTTGGCACCGTAGCAGACGGCGTTGACAGCGCTGTCCTTGACGACAATACGCTTGTAGCCAGTGAGGAGAGACTCCAGAGGGCTGATGACCTTGCGGAGGTAAGACTCATCGCGGTTGTTGTCGTAGACCCACTGGGCGTCCATAACATCGTGCAGAGTGACCATACCAGGGCCCTCACCCATGGCTCCAGAGCGAACACGGCGAAGTTCCTGCATGTGGGCACCGACACCGAGGAGGAGACCAAGGTGGACACAGAGGGTACGGATGTAGGTACCAGCCTCACAGCTGACCCAGAAGACACCGAGGTGGCGCTCGTTGTCGAACTCGTAGTTCTTGCTCTCGTGGATGGTACGGATACGGAGCTGGCGCTTGACGGCAGAGATCAGAGGGGGACGCTGGAAGAGCGCACCAGTCAAGGTCTCCAGAGCGCGGACGAACTGGGCCTCGCCACCGGGGATCTTGTCGTGGAGACGGATCACACAGACATACTCCTTACCGGCACCCTGCTGGGACTTGACCAGGCGAGTGGCACGGTCAATGCAGACGATCAAACAACCGGTAACCTTGGGATCAAGGGTACCACTGTGACCAGTCTTCTCGGCTCTATAGAGGGTAAGGTGGTTAGCGAAGGTGCGAAACCATTGAGGGGATTTGGTGGATTTTGATTTACCTGAGGATCCGCTTCATCCAAGCCACGACTTCATGACTGGAAGGGTTGGAGGGCTTGTCAAGGTTGATGACACCGGAGCTGATGTATGACTTCAAGTCACGGCTCAGGGGAGAAGAGCCAGCAGGGATAGGGGTGAAGTGACCGGTCCGAACGAGCACTACAGAAAAAGTCAATGTCGGCTGGTCAAGCGTGGAGTTTTGAGGACAAGCGTACGCTTCTCATAGTTCTTAAGCAGAAGCGGCCAATCCGATGTATCAACGGAAGGAACGGACGCTTCAGGCTTGATGGCGTAGTCCATCTCCGAGGTCTTGACGACTGCCATTTTGTTGGTTGTCGTTGAAGGATGCGCGGTGAAAACCCCGAAAATTTGTCGAAGGAAATTTTGCGAGTGCGGCAGCTCCAGCGCCCGAAGTGGTTTAGCGCCTGGAGAAGAAACCACGTGACTTGGAGTTCTCGACTTTTTACGCCTCCGGTTCCAAGCACTTCCAATTTCAAGAACGTTTTTACTAATAATAGAGACTATTGAAGAGAATAATTTAATTGATCCAATAAAGAAGACATTCCAGGACAATTGACTAATTGGGTTCAAGAAATCTGTATTTGTGGACAGATGCATGCCCCAAACCTTGTTCTTGTCAATTATCACTATTAACTATCACTATCTGTCACAAGTCCTGATAGGCACAATGAACGCCGGAACGTCTGTTACATGCAAATTATTTCCCATGCAGGGTTACAACAGACGTAGAGCCTATATGGCTCTCGATCTAACCGAGTCTCCGGCCAGCGCCTCTGCCATTCCAAGAACCCGAAGAGGTCCAGCCGCCCCAGGATGATCCTGACGTCGATGCCGACGAGGGTTGTCCAGCTGGCCGTGGCGCGCGGCTCGCCGTTCCATATCCTCGGTATCCGCTGTTGGGGTCATGGTGGGTAAAGTATCTCTCCACGAAGCCGGGGACAGTGAGGAAATTTCTTCCACCGCCGAAAGTCGGATAGATGCGTGTGAGGAAATCATAAGTATGGGCAGCGACAATGCCCGTGATATCTATCAGCACACTATACCACCCGTTCGTCACCATGCCGACGAGAAGCATTGCGTATGGCAGGAATACCACCGGGATGTCGACGACCCAGAATCTTGTCTTCGTTCCTCGGTTCGTCTGGGAGAACGTATAGACGAAGGCCATGGTCAAGGCTGATTTCAAGTCAGTGTCTGCGCGAGAATGGAACCAATTACGGTAAGCTTACGGGACAAGAGGAAAGGCGCTCCCAGATAACCACCTGCAGTGAGCTTAGGAAAGTTAGCAAATTTGGAAGAGATGTGTTGGACTACCAGGATGACGAGTAAAATAGGATGTGGATGGCATTGGAAAAGAATAGATGATGTATATAGAAATGTAGGGCACCTCCGATACCGACGCGATATGAAATCACGCCAGTGAGCTCGAAAGAAATCCCACCATGCCCACACCTGCACAACACCTGAATTTTGCGAATTATGATGGTGTTGCACAGATGCAGGGGTGCTCTCCCTCGCCTTCAGGAACCGCATTCAGCTAGATTTCGAAGCTGGGCGGGCAGTTATAGCGAGGGATTGGATATGAACGCGAACGCAGAGAAAAAGAACAAAAAAAGCAGACTCTATTGAGTCACTTACCATGATGTTGAAAGCTACGAACAGGAGATAAATGAAGAACTCTCCAGGGGCCATGCTCTTTTCTGCAGCGCTGCCATAGTTGTACACTGTCGGTACATTAGCACTCAGGCCAGGCCAATGTGATACCGAGGCATCATACTGAGGTAGAGATCAAAGACGAAAGAAAATTGTGGTCCGGTTAGTAGAAATGGTGTGACCAGTCGGTAGATCTGCGGTGGCCATGAGAATATCAAGCTCGGCATGAATGGCGCCCAATAGAAGCTCAGTAAGCCGCTATACATTAAAGCGGATTGAACCAGAGTCAAGGCTGTAAGGGTCCTGAATAACAAGTCAGAATGAGAGCTTGAGGCTCGGCCAATAGGGACGTGCATACCTAATGACCGGGGAGCCGCCCAGAAGACATCCATCTTGAGAAGGAATAAGATGCAAAATGGTTAATTGATCACGGCTTAGATCATTACAGCCGCTCACAGAATAGCCAAATTACTGTGTGGTTGAAGAAAGAAAGAGAAGGACAGGTGGAAAGAAAAATGGATGTGGAAAGCTGGCTTCGGGAGAGTTTCTCCGAGATCCGTTGATTATATAATGTGTTATATGGGTCCATCAACGTTCCATCTGTTTCGGCAGCTCACACTAGTTACTGGCTATTACCTGTTTCTAGTTTTAATAAAGGCTCAATGCATTGGTTCCATAGTATGAAGACCGGAATAACTCGTAATAGATGGTCTCTGCCTAAAAGGGTGTGCTATGACCTGAGGGTTCTGGCATCAACTTTGTTTCTAGTCTCAGATCTCATAACCCTAATTTCTCTTTCCTCAATGAACTCCGTTTCATTGGATCTGCATTTCCTGGATACCACCGGCTTTTAAATTATTTGCGTACCTTAGATCCAATATCTGCAAACATTTGATTCTCATCCTTATCAATATTGAGCCAACTTTGTTCGACGACCTCGCGATGTTTAGGACTCCGGATCTTGAAGACCGCTTTGGTAGAAGGGGCCAAAGAAAGGAAAGTTCCTCCCTTGGAGGCAATGTTAAGCAGTTTAGCCTTACGATCAAAGCCTGCTGGGGGCAGGATGTCGTAAGCCCACAGGCAACGGGGCAGTCCCATGTACAAGGATCGCTGGAGAAACTTGCGACGACCGAAGCCGAAGCCAGCTAGCGGGAGATCGGGGTTTTTGATCCAGCGTTCAGGGCGGAAGGCTTCTGGATCCTTGTGAATTTCCCCATCGCGCTCCAATCCCCATTGATTGGTGACGATGACAGAATTCTTTGGGATACGGTAGCCGATGTACTCGTCATCTTTGGAGACAGCGTGAAGCATCCCAATGGGGGCCACGGGACGCCACCGATGGGAGTCGATCCGCACCGACCACTTCGTCTAGCTGTGCTTGAGCCTTGCGGGTGCATTTGGAGAATAAAGTGGCGTTTGTAATGAGAAGATGCATCGTATCGTTGGATGACAGGTAGGCTCCAACCATAAGTTCACCGGCTATATAGCAGACCTAGTTCCAGGAAATTCTCTCTTTTTCCTTTTGGCGCATGAGCTCCTCGGACCAACAACAGTTTCCCGTGGTCAACGCCGCTTTGATGACTCCACCCATAAAATGGATTTCCTCGTCAAACATTTGCTTACCGAGGCGCTTCTAGGGGGCAAGGGGCGCCGGAAGACAGTTAAGCGATGGGAAAATATCGACCAGAAAGGAGGCCCGGTGGAAACCAGTGGACTTGCGGAGAGCGAACTCGCCAAGCTCAAGGAATTTGGATTCAGTTTCGGCAGACATCCGTTTGCCGAGAACCAAGGTAAAGGTCACACCCTGAGTAAACTTCGTGATGATATCAGAGCAATCGTCGCCCACGGTGAGCAGATTCTGCATAAGGCTCCAACTCTCGAGCTCATGGAATTTTCTGTAAGATTTGAGGGCAGTGGGGTTGAGAAAGACAGTCTCGATCCGATGCAGTCGCTACCAGTTGTCGTTATACGGCTGTAGGCTTGGCTGAAGACCGTTCGTCATACATTCGTTCGCATATATCATACGCGGCCGGGTGCTGTAGATAAGACCGCGTTTATCAAGGAGATCATTGGCGACCTTGGGTGAACCAATGATGATAACGTTGAACCCCGAGAATTTCAGACTGATAAGAGGTCCATATTGATTGTGCCAAGCCTTGTATTGCTTCCATTGCAGTTCAGTGGGGTGTTGGTGAAGGTTGCCGATAGTGGGCAAAGCCTTGGGGCCGGGAGGAAGAGGTTTGAGGGGAGCAGAAGTGAAAAATCGATGATAGATAACAGAAGACACAATAAGAATGATCACTGCTATGACCAATCGTTGAGTGAATCCCGTGCCCTCTAATAATCGAACACCTGCAGAGGCTGTTGCACTAAACGAAGGAAAAGCAGTGGGATTTATCTTGGATGCTTCCATCTTGGTGTTTTCTCTTTTCCTTTGCCCTGATGTTGTGGGGTTTGGAGGAGAACATATATATAACGAAACCAAAAGGATGTGAACTTAAATCTTCGAGGGCTTCTGTGAGGATATTACAGAAGGCAAATTCTCCTTCCTATCATCCACAGCATTCAATCGGACGGTGGAAATATGCAACCTGTACATATTCTCAAACAACGCACTACGGACAACGACGTTAAGCTCTTTGTCCGCAAGTATATGAAATCCACCGGGAATGCTCGGTATCGCAAGCAGCAAATTTCCATCTATATGAAGGCCGCAAGGGCGATTGTAGCAGAATTGGGGCAGAAGTTAGGGGAGTGTGCGGAGTTGAACGCGGCTTTAGATTACTTGGAATTTCAGTAGGAGAAACAAGCGTTTGGGGGAATTGCTTTCGGTTTGAACTGTTGTTTTAAAATGTGATACCTATCTAAACCATGACTCTTCTTTTGACCACTTTGTCCCTGTAAAAAAGAAAGGAAAGATATTCCTTGGCGCTCAGTCTGTGTCAAAGGTCTATACTCGGCCCGTCAGGCCCTAACCCGGAGAAATGTTAGCGGGCCAAGTGAGCTTGATCGCCAGATGCAGATGATACAGATGATTTACACGAGATGGTCGACTCGAGAGCATCGTGATTTAGCGTAACATCACTTTTCTTCACTTTCACACGGATATGTACTGGATAATGCCTGGCACTCGAGACTTTTCCTTTTCCGTTTTAGTGCTCACCCTTGGCCGCTTTTTGATCACCAACCACCTGGAAGTGGATGGCGCCCAATCAGGGGTGCTGTACTTCGTATATGGTGCTGATCGGCGAATTGGTTTGTGAAAAGCATCTCAGTATTCGTAAAGGATCCTTAGCTGCAGACGCCAAGTTCGGCTGATTGAATTGTCAGGGCCAAAAAAGAAAACTATGACCATGCTAATTGAGGTTAGTTTACTCCGTACTTTCTGAATTGATCCCTGTCTTTGCCCTTCTCTCTTCTTTCTCGCACCTCCCTCGATACGTTCTATCTTCATCTCAAATATGGCAGTGTTTCCGTTCAACCTGAAATATTCCGCTGTTATTGTAATGGTGGCAGCGCTTGTGGCTGGTCTCGTCTTTGCTCTCGCCCATGATGCCTTTTACCAAAGTCTGAATGGAAAGCCTATACTCAAAGCTCAACCGCTCGCTGGATTGACTTCCTCCTTCAATATATCCGACCAGCAGGTTTACCTTTCTCTCGGTACTTTGTTTGCCTTCCTAGTCAAGAGTTTTCTTGGAGCGTCCGTCTCAACGGTCTTTGATCAATTTGTTTGGAAATCCATTCACGGCCAAAGAACTAAAATTGGTATTATCGACGATCTACTCTTGGTCCTTAAAAATGGCTTTACGGTTCTCAATCTTCAGTTATGGAAGCGTTCCCCGATCAGTATGACGCTTGCTCTGATTTGTTGGCTTCTTCCTACGACGTCTATTATCTCGACCGCTACATTAAGCGTACATTTAACTTCCTTTAATGAGTATGTGATGAAACGAACTCCTCGGGTCGATTTTACTAGCGCGAATTTTGGCGTCTTAACTTCGGGCGTATATGTGAATACAACGCCGAGTAAGTGGGCTACTGCCTATATGGGCCCTTCGTCGGAAACCGAAAGCATTGTCAGTAGTGTCGCCACACAAGGTACAATTTTGCAAATAGAGCCACCAGCTGCCAACTCGTCGTGGTCAGTGGAATTCTATGGTCCTATGATCGTCTGTGACAATGTGAACCAGACCCTTGCCAATCATATCACTCAAGACGTTGTCCTGGCTATCAACGCATCCAAGGTCATTACAAATGACACACAGGAGCTAGTGAGGTACAGTTATCTTTCTTGGGCACCGGAGTCAGATACTCTGAATGGCTCTACTCCTTTTTATCACGCAAATGGGAGTGATACATACACTCAACGGTCGCTTGGGCTTGGTCCCCTAGTTCAGAGTCCAGATGATCTATCGCGAGTCTGGGGTCCGGAAAAGCCTGGAGTTGACGGGCCACCTCTATCTCTATTTGTTGCCACCTTTCCCCGTGCTTTGGAATACACCAAATTCCAGCAAGTTATAAAAAACATGGACAGAGCTGTACAGAATGCAACGATTGTACATTGTGCGCTTCACAATGCATCATACCAGGTCGATCTCACCTACGTCAATCGAGACCAAACAATCCATGCGAGAGATATTACAGTCCTTAATGGCGTTAGCCATTTTGGCGGTGTTACCAATGTGGACTTCAAGGAGGGTAAAGCTTCTTCCGATACTTCCTTCTTACACAACCCGTATCTCATGGAGTCTTTGTCTTATCAGTCTATAATGGAGGCGTTTGGACGTCTTTTGTTTGGATCGGTCAGTAACGAGATACATGTTATTAAAAGCGCGCAAAGCAATCAGAATGGGATCATTTCAGGAACAAACAATCTGAATACCTCTATCCTAACAACATCATTGAAGAATACGGAAGAGATCAGATTCATTCAATCTATTATAAGCCCGGGTCCTAAAAGTCCATTTGAGGATTACTGGGATGGGAGATCTGTCAGAGCGTCAAATGAATCTTCTCCGGTGTTATCCAAAGCCCTTGAGGAACTTTTCCGGAATATCACTTTTTCTCTCATGAGCTCCAACATGTTCCAGTAAGTATTTCCAGTCTAGCCTTTACACTGTTCGCACTAATCATTCATCATAGACCCAATTACACAGTGGACGCAGTGCCAGATACCAATGTGACTATTACCTCTTACCACAATATCTACGTCTACACTCGACCAATTCTCTGGGCAGCCTACGGTACTGCATTAAGCGTCACCACATTGTGTGTTGTCGCCGGCATCTTGCTCTATCTCTCCAGCGATGGGTCCTACACCAGTAAATTCTCGACCATCCTCAGGGTCACTCGGGGCGCCGTGATATCCACGGAGCTCGACACGAAAGACTACAGTGGTCTTGACCCGCTTCCGGTTCACATTGCGAATGCGAAATTGACCACCGGCTATAACCCAGACCATCCTGACAAGGCGTCATCCACAGACTCTCTGAGACACCGAGAATCAGCAGCTTCTAGTCAACTACTTCAAACCAGATCGGATAAAGTCGTCAATGAGAGCAACGAAGAGAAGTAACACGATGTAACTGCCAGCGGAGCAGTTTCGGAGCGTACTGGATACTATCTTCTTTCCTACGGTTGATGAATTATGTACTTAATTATATAGAGAGTCGATTTCACGTACCTCCCCCAAAGCTTTCGTATCAATGGGGCTGTGATTAGGCCGCGGCAAGTGCGGAGGGCACTCTCCCATCCCGCGGATTGTGGACATCATTTTAGTATCCGCATCCTCCCCGTAGGGAGTTGAGGATATCTGCGGGTGGTCCGCGGATGTCTGCAAACTACATCAGCACTAAATCAGTCATTCTATACGTTACTGAACTAAGATATGATCACGGATCCAAGTCCGTGCTAATATCTACTCAGTAAGCCTGAGCCTGAGCACCCTCATAAGAGCGGCGGTATACGAAGTGAGGTATATCCATGGATAACTATATCCTAGCTATTAATAATAGCGGGGCTTACTCCAAATATCGAACTCCTGCAGAATCAATATTAGTGCATCACAGTCCCCATAACTTAACGTGTTATTCCGACCTCGTCCGCGCAGTACCCCGAACAGCCAACCCTCCATCTGGACCTTCAATCCACACATCCCAAGCCCCGGTATCATTCTTAGGCTTGCCACAAATCACCAGCTCCTGTTCAACAAAAAGCGGCACTAGATTCTTATATTCAATGTCACTGACGCAGAGATTCAATTTACTCAGCTGTTGTTGAAGTACACTCAACAGAAGCGTGAGCGTCAATGGACCATGCACCAAAAGATTTGGATATCCCTCCTGGTTCTGAGTATAGCCCTTATCAAGGTGAATGGAATGGGCATTGAAAGTCAGTGCCGAGAACCGGAATAGCAGCGCTTTAGTAGGTACGATGGTATGGCGGAATGTCGCGTCGGAGGGGGCTATATTACGCCAGAACAATTAGCACATTTAACATCATACCCAATAGCAGAAAATATATGCTCACGTTTCACAATCCTACCAGGCTTTCCGAACTGCGCCTTATCGGCCTCGATTTGGGCGCTGGTTTTTAGACGCATGAAAATAAGGTCCCGGTTCTCAATGACCGACGATTCTCCCGCGTTCTCTTCGTTCTCTTTCCATATCCGGTCCCAGGTCTCATCGGCTGTTTCTTGTTCGGGAACGTTGCCAATGCGTCGCTCAATGGTGACAATCACTTTCTCGTCACCCTCGCGACCCTTCACTGTCACGTTGCGGATGGATTCTATGCACACTGCGCGGCTTCCATCCAAAGGTGGACTGCGCACGGGGAATCTTAGATTTCCACCTGCCCAAAGGCGTCGATTAAATGGTTCGCCCGGTGTGTGTAACGTATCTGTGCAGTCCGGGAGTAGTTGCGACAAGGTCACCTGCGGCGGGAAGTAGATTAAGTGGTGACCGACTGGAAGCGGGGACGGGTTCTGTAATGACGGTAGAGTCGCATAATCGGCGGGGTTCTGATATTTTGTCTGAGATTGTGGAAGAATATCACGGAGTGTGAGGTTCAGAAGATGCGAGGGTTGGGGGTGTAGATAGTCGTAAGTCAACGGGAGCTTCCTTGTGGTCAGTTCGTGACGCAAGCGCTCAGAGAGCGAGGAGTAAGTCCGACATGTATGACTCCTGCCTCGCAAAGAGATCAGGGGTCGGAGTGAATTTGTCTTCATGAGCAAAGACACTGAACTGGACGGGTATTAAATCGCAAGCTTCACTTGGTATCATAGACTCCGCGTTTGGTTTGATTTGTTTGTCTGTCGCTCATTGCCTATATCGGAACTGCCCCAATATCGGAATTCAGCCCACTCACCGCTTGGAGACCCGATGTCGCCTGTCGATGAAATGACCAGTCCGATTATTTGATTTGAATCAAATAGGTTCAGCCCAATTCACGCGGAGAAGACCAAAAAGACCACTCCATACTTCATAATGACACCCTTGAGAGTCGCCTTCCTAGGACCGCTGGGGTCCTTTTCGCATCAGGTACAAACTTTACCCCACATCCCTGCAAATACAAATTACCTTGATTATTGATCCCTGTTCTAGGCTGCTGCAGAGTCCTTTAGCAAACAATCCGCCGAATTACAACCTCAAGTCTCATTCCCAGATGCCTTCGCCGCGCTCCAAAACAAAAAAGCAGACTACGCCGTGATTCCGTTCGAGAATTCCACCAATGGCTCCGTGGTGCAGACATTAGACCTCTTGGCAGACCGAGATGGTCTATATAAAGACGTGAAAGTGTGTGGGGAATATTACCTGACAGTGCATCACTGCTTAATGGTGCGCAAGGGCACATATCCCGGCGGTTGGGCAGAGTACGACGGCTCAATAACCAAGCTATACACACACCCGCAGGCGTGGGGCCAGTGCGAAACCTTCTTGACGAAATACTTCAAGGGCGTCGAGAGACAGGATGTCACGTCCACGTCCAAGGCGGCGGAGATTGTCTCCAAGGAGACAACGGAACGAGGCGCTGCTATTGCCAGTCGCTTCGCGGCAGAACAACACGGGACGGACGTGCTCGTGGAAAACATTGAGGACAGAGCAGACAATACCACCCGCTTCCTGATCTTCAGGAATGTGCTCGATGAACGAACTGCCCAGCTCAAATTTGAGCAGCCGAACCCGCCTACATTGGAAGCCGAATCTGCCCTTCAAACCACGCACAAGACCTTGATTACCTTCACGATTGATCATTCATCTCCCGGTGCATTGGCAAATGCGCTGTTGATCTTCAAGGCTCATGGCTTGAATCTTACGAGCATTAACACAAGGCCGAGTCTGAAGAAGTCGTGGCAGTATATCTTTTTCGTTGAGTGTGGAAGGACACCCTCAGATGAGAACAAAGAGGCTGTCCACAAGGCTCTTGATGATTTGCGTCAAGTCACTGAGACACGTAGGGATTTGGGGACCTGGAATGATCAGTTAAGTGTAAGCAATGCTTAACTTGATTGACTGGTTCTAGTTGGAGACTCACCTTGGTCATTTTGAGAGCAACGCATTGATGATTTTGCAAACGCACTGAAAGCGTCATGTCATATATGTTGAAGATATCTCGGTTTACTATACGAATAAATGAAATAAAAATGTACGCACTGTCGATGGTATGGACAAAGTGTACAGCGCAAGATAAAGCAGCAAATTAATAAACAATAAAATAGCACCTTCTATATCAACCCTTTCGGGTGCTTTTTTTTAATAACGAGCAAATAAGGAGCGAAGTACCAAATAATGCCATTCAGAGATGAAACGACAGAACTGGCTGAGAAATATAAAACAATCCAACGCCGTCCGGCTCACATAGAGTAAGCAGTGCAAGCAGCGGTGGATGACCAAATGTTGCAGAAAACTGCACCCAACCTTTCAAATTGCAATTTAAACCTCATCTTCATCTCAGACACTGAGGTGACCTCAGTGTGCGTATCTTGGAGCTTGGACGACACTATACTCAAACATTAGTCAAACCCGCGAGCGATGGTCTATCTGGATGTCTCACCTCTGAGCAGCTTCACGGAGCTTGGACCAGACCTTTTTTGTTATCCTTTACGGATGCCTTGGTTCCATTGCGGGAGCCGCCTGTATGATCCACAGGGCGAGCCGTCAAAAGACTCGCCGCGGGAGCTTCTGGCCGTTCATCCTCGCTCTCTGCGAGGGGGCAATACCGTCAATCTGCAGAGATAAGTTAGTATGAATATAAACACACACACAAAAAAAAAGGAAACATACCGTCGTAGAACTCGTCATCATCGCTGTGATCGGCAAGCTGTTCAAAGTTGACCTTGTATCGGAGAATGGCACCGATACCACCGAATCCCTTGACGAACTGGTTTCCTTCGCCGGATCGGTCAGACACGAACTCCAGGTTGGCACCGAAGTCCTTGTAGGCCTCAGCAAGCCACTCGAGGAAAGAGCCTGATTCAATAACCTCCATATCCATTCCAGTTTCCTTGTCCTGGAAAAGGTCCTTGTTGGCTTCCTGGGCCTTGTTTGTGTGGACAATGACCGTGTTGCCTTCCGCATTCTTCATGACCCAGCGAGTGATCTCCAAGTTCTCGTGGACGATCAAGATTTCAGCAGCACCAAGCTCCATTGCCTTGAGTGTGTCTTCAATACCGTAGCAGACCTTGCCGGTATCTTGACTAATCTCCTGGAAGTACTGGCCAATAAGCTTCTTCTCCTGAACGAACTTGACGTTGCTCAGGGTCTCGCCAGCCAATTCAATGGCCTGGTTGAAACCGTTCTCGCCACCGTAGGAAACATCGACAATCTTGATAACCTTGGATTGCAGACGACCATCGAACAGGTCGGACTGGTTCAGGTCGTTCTTGAAATCGGCGGAACCAGCCAACACCAGACCGGCGACATTAGGCTTGTCGTTGGTGATGTAGTTCTGAACAGCCAACTCGGCGATCTTGCGGACGTAGTTGTGACGCTTTTCCTCACGGAGACGCGAGAAACGCAGAGCGGATTGACCACCACGGCCCTGTGGGGATCAGTATGGACGAACATCGTACTCAATCAGTCTGGGGCCACTCACGTGCTTCTTGGGCAGATCAACGGTGAGACGCTGAAGGATCTCACGAGTGTTACCACTGAGAGTACCGAACAGAGTACCGTTACCATCCATGACAATGAAACCGAACTTCTGATCAGCCTCGAGAAGTTCACTCAAGGCTTCAGTGTGGAACTTGTTATCACAAAGGTAGAGGGAGGTGTTGATGGGCTTGAACGGTTCGAAATCGATGTTAATTTTGCGCTCCTTTCCTTCCGAGGTGATAATTTCACCACAATACACGACCAGTCCATTGGGAGGGACCTTGTTGTAGAGCTTCAGACGCTGCTGAGTAGAGGTAATGGCCGACAGCACGGAGAGTCGGTTCACTCGAGACTTAATGTTGGAGGCGGTACCCTATTGTGCGATTAGGCGGTGTTCGGCGCAGACAGAACGGGGGGATATGGTTTCACGTACATACTCTTCAGCCAACATCTTGGCTGCTCTGCTAATCTGATCCTTGGGGGCTGAATTGACGTGTTAGCAGCGACAGTAGGTGGCGGGGGGCAGTGACAGCGCACGGATAATGAGCGAAATCATGGAGGTTCCATTTCCACGAGCGGATTCAAGACGCTTGATCAGCTTCTTGACCTTCCAGATCTCGATATTCTTCTCAGCTTCGTTCGGCGGAGGGGCGCTCATCTTGGCGAGGCGACAGTTGATCAGGGAAGAAAGTTATCGGAGGCCCTGCGGACGCCTGAAGACTCAGTCAGTAATGGGGGGCGGAAGTCGGCGAACAAAGATTTAGACTTGCCTATTTTACACCTAAGATCAGTTAGTAGGTTTAAAAAAATGTGTAAAAAATGAATACTGATATTTTTTTTCCTTAAATATTCATAGATTCAACAAAGAAGAGTACATACCTTAACTGAATATGACGTTTAAAAGCGACAGCAAATTTCCTCGTGGGGTTGGACATACACAAGTTTGTTCGAGGGGTCGGTTGGCACGCTGAGGTAAGCCAGGGCTACCCGTGACGTATTGGTACTTGCCCAGTTATGGCCTAACACCCGGGTGGTCAGGTACAGGTACATTCTTTTACACCCCCCAGGGTATTTAGATATATGTACATGTGTGTAGGTAGGTAGTATATGCTTCATGGTAATAGGCAAGTATCCATACCAGTTCTGAACTAGGCATAGTATATATATAGATTACAAAACATCTTCAATACATCTCTCTTACGTATTAGATTTCCCTAAAACCACCGTTAGGCCTTGGAGAAAGTCGTATGACTGCATTCTCCCTGTTTACATGTATATATGCCTATGTAGTTATATACATATAGAAAAGTCCTCTGCACGGTTTATGGTTTATGCCCTTTACCGTCTTTAAATATATTTGAAACGGTATCTAATAACATAACTAAGCGTTATTATATATAAGTGGACGTCCCTAATACCATCCACCTTAGAGATTAAACTTCTCACCTCAAGGATAGAGACCATATGAGCGGCTAGCTATTCTTGGATAGAAAATAATAATAATAAATAAATAGAAGAAACAATATATATAAATCTACTCCGTACTAAATTCCTAATGCCCATTCAATTAGTCACATTAAAATCTCTGGCTTATCAAATCTCCGTGATCCGCACCCCACACTGGCGGAAGCTCCTTTTGACGCTAAGCTCTTTTTAATATCGCAGAAGGTTGTTTTCGCGTCTTATCTGTCCCTGGAGCTATCTGTGATAAGAGTGAGGGGAGTTTTTCCTCTTAGTCTTGACTTCCCTTCCTGCACTTCACCTCGGGAACCTCCTCAACTTGAAATCATATATCTTTAGGGTTACTCACTCTACTGCCATCGTGCTGGTAACAAGAAAATATGTCAAGGGCCGAAAGAACAGATGAAGATCACGACAGTGAACCGGTCTACGGCTCATTGAGGATACCGGCTGCGACACCAAGCTCCTACGATTATGGCCATCTGGAGCATGGGAGTCCGACCGCCGAGTCGGAGGTTGGCGGTAGACAGAGGTATGCGATTTCTGTTTGACAAAAGGCAGACCGGTAGCTAATCATTTTACACAGGTCGTCGTCGTACTCAATTCGAGTTCGTCAAGCCGGAGGTCCCAACAGTATAGACAACTTCGCGCGGTCTTGGCAGAGAGCCGCGGCCTTCCCAGAAGTCCTCCCGCGGCGCTCGTCGTTTGTCTCTGCGCACTCGGACGATGAATTCGCCATTGCCACTGGCCAAGAATATGGGCCAAGGAGCTCTCCATCCTGGGGTCGGCACTCGGGTGTGGAGCGGCCTCTGCTTCGGGGGGACTCGGACTCGGACCACGACGATGAGGACTCACGAGCACCTGAGTCTTCCAAGAGGGCACTCCCTAGCACTGGGCTGCTTGCCTCGTCCTTTGATAGAACCTTTGCGACTTCGTATGGCACAATCTCCTCGCGAATGAGCGAGTCGACGCGGAGGAATGCAATCCAATTCCACCGTGAGCACCATCCCCATGTGCATGTGGATGGGTCTGGAGACTTGGACCGGGGCCCATTGCTTGTCAAGCATGTCCAACATGAAGATGGTACCGAGGAGGACATCATCGTTGGGCAATCCACTGTTCCGCAGACTATCTTCAACTCGGTCAACGTGTTAATTGGTATCGGCCTGCTGAGTCTTCCATTGGCGATGAAGCATGCCGGGTGGCTCTTGGGATTGATATTCCTCATCTTCTCGGCAGTTGCCACCTCCTATACAGCCAAAATTCTGGCTAAATGTCTTGATGTCGACCAGAGCGTCGTCACGTATGCTGATTTGGCCTATATCAGTTTCGGGCAAAATGCCCGTTTGATAACCAGTTTCCTGTTCTGCCTGGAACTTTTAGGAGCATGCGTGGCACTAGTTGTGCTCTTTGCAGACAGTTTATATGCCCTGGTACCAGGATTGAGCATCCTCCAATGGAAGATCGTCTGTGGTGTTGTGCTTGTCCCGCTCAATTTCCTGCCGCTTCGATTCCTGAGTATTACCAGCATATTGGGTATAATTTCGTGCACATCAAGTAAGTCTTCTTCCGAACTGAGGCTAAAGATGGAACTAACACTCGAAAGTTGTGGTACTCATTTGCATTGATGGCTTTATCAAGCCAAACTCGCCGGGCTCCTTGCGGCAACCAGCTAATACATTCCTCTTTCCTGAGAATTGGGCTACCCTCCCTCTGAGCTTTGGTCTTATTATGTGTGAGTAAACGGACAAAAAGCAATTATGACTATAAGGCTAACTTGCTTGAAAGCACCATGGGGTGGCCACGGTGTCTTCCCTAATATTTACAGAGATATGCGGCACCCTCAGAAATACGGCAAGAGCCTCTGGGTGACCTACCTCTTTACAGTAAGAACATCAAATGACCAGGATAAAGTTGGATTCTAACAGGTTGACAGTTTACTTTGGACTGCTCAATGGCAATCATTGGTTGGCTTATGTTTGGCGATATGGTCCGCGATGAAATCACTGCGAACATTCTAACCATCACAAGCTACCCACAGTCCCTATCCGTCTGTATTGTAGTCTTCATTTCGATCATCCCGCTCACTAAAGTGCCGTTGAAGTGAGTTCAATGCCTTCATTTATCCTCGGACACTGCTGACAAGAACATAGTGCCCGACCTCTTGTGGCCACATTTGAAGTTCTTTGTGGAATCGGAGGCAGCCATGTGCCTGGGAATGGCTCGGAGGCACTACACAAATTCTCACAGGCAATGGTCCGCGTTTTCGTAGTGGCCTCGATTGTTGTTTTGGCGGTCATCTTCCCGGCTTTCGACCGTATCATGGCTTTCTTGGGGTCGTTCTTGTGCTTCACGATCTGCATCATCTTCCCTCTTGCATTTTATCTCAAGATCTTTGGAAAGGAAATCAGTCGAGGCGAGTACATCCTTGATTGGATTCTGCTCATCATCTCCTCGATATTGGCAGCCGTGGGGACTGTCTGGGCCTTCTTGCCACAAGAAATGCTCACTGCGAACTAGATTCCGCCTGCAGCATGGTACATGGAGTATAATAGCATTTTGTTTTGCATGCAGATAATCACTTCTTGTTGAGAATGACGGCGAAATTGTTTCTTGTTTTGCCGGACCTCAATTCTTCCTTCTTAAAATTCTTAGGCGCGTAGGTGCCGGTGTGTTCCCAGAGATGAAAGACTAACTTTGAAGTCCGCTTGCTTTGTGTTAGACGGAAGCCCAGGCAAGTCATGATCTCCCCTAGTCTTTCTTCGTTGAGGTAGCGCGAGTTGTCCACACATGCAATAGGCAATACCAGGAAGAGACTGGGAACGAGTTCAATAGGGCATTTCGAAGTCAAGAACTTGACACAACGCTTGAGCATTTCACCCCGCCCCGTAGCATCAGGAACATAGTTGAGCACCAATGACAGACTGATCATGTTGAAACGTTCATCATCACTGGTGGGCAAAGGTCGCTCCATGAAATCTTGCTTTAGAATCCCTGGCTCTTGGGAGTTCAAGTCGATCCGGGTAACATCCAAGGCCGGGTTGATAGAGCAGGCGTTTTTGGTGCTCAGAGCTCCAACTTCAAGAACTCGAAGCTTTGGAACGGTGTTGTTCCATTGCTTCAATTGCGGCTTAATCCAGTCGATGAGGACTTTGCTCGAATCTCCACCGCGGTCCATCGACTGGCCTAGCTTACTGGCGATCTGATAGCTTTCGAGGCCGCCATTGGCTTCGATTTGAGCGTCAATACTGCTGACTCGGGCCTCGTCCCCGGCAGCCAGAGCTTGAGCCCGGACTTTGAGAAGTCGATGATGGGATCGAATCAGAGTGCGAGTAGCCTTTGCTGAAAGAGCAGCGTCCTTGGATTTGACAATGCGAGGCCGACTATGCGACAACAACGTCGGCCTCTTGGATCGTTTTTGGGGAGCCATGTCTTAATGATCGCGATGAATCAAAAAATTAGAATAATAGATTTGGATATCAAGAATCTATTGTCTCTTCGAATCTCCTCGAGGGTTGGATATACAAAAAGGAGAGGAGGTCACTGGCACGCAAAGAAAAGCCGTTCAAGAAAATCAAAAGAGAGATAAATACGATGTTCATTCTGATTGGACAAAAAAGTAACCATACCGTACTACTATGTATTAAAAAAATACCAAAGATACCACCTGGACCCAGCGGACCGCAGGTCACCTGACCCACACACAGCACTAGGGTTTTCGCTAAGCGAAGACCACTCCAAATCCGTTCGACTTTTGACACTGCGATAATCCATCATCGACAGCGACCGACGACAGCCATGGCCCCCTCCGACAACAAGACCGGTATGTTCCAATAACTATGCGCTCTTCCTATTGCGATCGCCGCCTTGCCAATTGTGAATTCGCCGTGTGCACGTGGAGGAAGATATTTGGATTCAAAAAATTTCGATATTTGGAGATCACCTCGCAAAGAGTCGGAGACACCAGGACATTTCGCAGAGCACTTCTGCATCGCCATATGCCTGCCGATCTCAAACATGCGCCTCCAACAGCAGAATCCTCGATCTACCACATGCACACCGGCAAATTCACAAATGGCAATCTGCGGAACGAACTTTTTTGGGAAAATTTTTATTAGTTCACTAGGCTAACGAAATCTTCTCTACAGGCAAGAACAAGGCCAACGCCGCCGCCAAGGCGGTTGCCAAGGGCGCTTCGGTACGTAGCAAAAGATGAAGCAGACCAAAGAAACCCTTTTGGAGCCTATCGCTAACGCGGTTGTGGCAACAGCTTCACAAGTCCCGCAAGGTCCGCACCTCGGCCACCTTCCACCGCCCCAAGACTCTCCAGCTGTCGCGGTCCCCCAAGTACCCCCGTGTGTCTGTCAACCACGGCCCCGCTCTGGACTTCAACAAGATTGTTCTGTACCCCCTGAACACTGAGAGCGCCATGAAGAAGATCGAGGAGAACAACACCCTCGTCTTCATCGTCAACGTCAAGTCCAACAAGCGCCAGATCAAGCAGGCTCTTAAGAAGCTGTACGATGTTGACACCGTCAAGATCAACACTCTTATCCGGTATGTTTTACTAGTATTCTTGCGGGGTTCAAGTGGATTGAAAGCTAACATTACTTTTCCAGCCCTGACGGAACCAAGAAGGCCTTCGCCCGTCTTACCCCCGATGTCGATGCTCTTGACATTGCCGCCACCAAGCTGGCCATTGTCTAAGCGGGGAATGCTTGAAAAGGGATTTCTTAGGGTTTTGGCGAACTTTGTTTTTCACTACGGTGATGCTAAAATACCAGCCGGGCTGAATGATCAAAAAGAACATAACTTGTGAAAGTGAAATGCACGATTCCAGAAGAATCGCCGGACTTGTCGGTCCTGTAATGGCTAAGACATGTTCCAGACCACATAGTAGTGCACCGTAATGTTGTAGTTTTTCTTAGTCTATATTTGATTAGAGATGGTGTAAATGGGCGAACGTTTTTCAATGTTGCATTGCATGGAGACAAGGGTTGTCCACAACGTTTTACAAGCCTGCAGTTGCCCCAGTTGCGATATCGTTTGTTATTTATATACTCCGTATACCCAGTTTACACATAGTTAATTATCCAGCCTAAACTGGCCGATATTGCATGTTCTCACCATCCTTCCATAATCCAGGATATGGTAGCGTCGATGATATACTTGTTCTACAAATAACATCTCCACAACAAACACAACATATAGTGTACAAGACAACATGGTTCATAAATTGACTCTAGTATACAAGTGATGGTTCCACAATCCGTCTATCCATCCATAACCCCCAAGACAAAACCGTCCAACCGCCGTCCAAACAAAATTAGAGCATGACAGGCTCCAACCCAAATCAGTTTTTATGAATAGTGATTGATATCCATAGACATGCATGGCATCCAGACAGCAATCAGAATCAGAAATATCAGAAACCGAGAACACAAGACATATAAACGCTTAGTGGCCGGGGCCGCCGCGCATGTTGTCCAGCTTCGACAGGATGGACAGACTGGTATCCATCCACCGGTCAACACAGTTCTGTGCGCATGCCTCCTCAGTCTTATCGAGGGTACCGGAGGTGATCTTGCTGGTGATGCACTTTTCCCAGCACACTTCGTTCAAGTGGTGGACAGCTAGAAGAGGATTGAAGTTAGCGATATAGTTCGATTCCAAAAGAGCAAAAGATATCAAGCACTAGAATCCGAATCCATCTAGATCATATAGATCATGAAGTATAGAACCCTAATATATCCGGATAGAAAGATGGAACACTCACTCTGCTGAATGTTGGACTTCTGAGCCTCGTTGGTGAGGACCTGGTTGAGCTCCTTCTTATCGCTCTCAGAGAGCTTGGTGAGATCGAGTTGCTGTTCCATAATGGCGGTATAGGGCAATTTTAAGTAGCAATCGAGGTGAAATGGGATTACGGAGAATGAGATAACAGCAAAGCAATCGACGGTAGCTGGGGAGGATGAGATGTCCGCAATTCAAAATCAAAGGCGGTGAACAGCGACACAAAAATGACGCGCAGTTTTCCCTATCGATAGCAACTTGCGTTCCTTCGTTTTTCTCATTTTAACATCGAAGAGAATATACCTTGTCGAAACAGTGTCAGGTTGAACACGATCTCGCTTTAGAATATCGCATTACATCTATCTCATTATCATCAGCTGTAACATATCATCCACCATGCCTCCGATCCGCACTTCCCGCAATCGCAAACCGCCTCCCGCTGGCTTCGACGACCTTGAAGATACCCTGCTGGAATTCAGCAACAAGATGAAGGATGCAGAGAATGCATCGCATGAAGGAAAGAAGAAATATGAAGTTCTCTGGCCTATATTCCAGATCAGTCATCAACGTATGAGTTGCTCCTCTCCGCGGCATTGAGAAATACGGTTTTACTGACTTTTGCCCCCTCTTATTTAACAGGCTCACGATACATCTATGAACTTTACTACGAGAAAGAAGCGATCTCAAAGGAACTATATGATTTCCTGCTCAAGAACAAGTATGCTGATGCCAACTTGATTGCCAAGTGGAAGAAGCAGGGCTATGAGAAGGTTAGTTTGTCCTTGGGAACACTTTTTGATTTAGGACTTGAAACTAACTGATTTGTTTAGTTGTGTTGCCTGCGCTGTGTCCAAACGAAAGAAACGAACTTCAACTCCACATGTATCTGCCGAGTGCCCAAGGCGCAGCTCAAGGAGGACCAGACAATTCAGTGTGTCAGCTGTGGCTGCAACGGCTGTGGAAGCAGCGACTAAAAGAAAGACCGAGTGTGGTCGGTGACTGGAGGGTTCCCATTTGACTGGGGACCCCGGGAGGTATTGGTGGATTAACCACACGCATCCATTGGATAGGGCGTTTCGGTATTATGCATGTCTGTTTACGTTTTCTTTTTCTTTTTCTTTTTTACTCTATCGGATCCATTCATCGGGTCAATCAGATACCCTTCAAAGCTTGAATGGCTCATGGAACAGTTTGATAAGCAGACAAATAATGACTTTCAATTGCTAACTACATACATTATATCGAAGTAACGCCATCAATGTGTGTCCCGGTAGTTTTCCCATAAAGATAGCCCCAACCCAATATCCAAATCATAAAAACCATCGCTTGCATGTACATCTTAGCATCGTCATTAATATCGTAACCAGGCCATCCCGGGCTCGGTGGAGGAAATGTCAGAACCGGCTCCATCAGCGCAGCCCAAAAACTCCCCAAAGAAAAACACCGCCCACAAGACCTTGGAAACATCGCCGAGAACCAACTCCAGGATACAATCCAAAACTCAAGAAACAAAGGTGGCGGGGCGACAAAAGCAGGAGGATAATAGGGGGGTAGTAGGGAGAATAATCAAATCAAACAAGGTGGGTCTCCCAGAGATCCCAACCTACAAACAAAAAAACAAATCATGAACTGAGGTCATCTTAAAACAACGTCGTATTGGTGCGGTGGCCCATTTGTGGTCGATGAAGTGCCCTGGGCTTCAGGGTGTCATCCTTGCTCATGCCTCCAATTTTTTGGAAGCCTTGCAAGAGATCAATACCATCGACTTCACCCGGGCTGTCATTGCCCTCATCGAAAAGATGGAATGAGAAGAAATCTTCCTGGCCAGCATCTCCAAATCGGTTCGTGTCTGGGAGCTTAGACGGTGACTCCGGGAAGATTGAGGACTTAGAACGGGACATCGAGGGCATACCCAGTCGGCTATTTATGTTCACCGAAGTGATGTCCGAAAGTACAGTGTTGCCACTGTCGTTGCGCGGGCGTTTGACTGAGCGCTTCTCAGGAGATCCATAGGACACCTGTGCTGATCCCGAATCCGCGAAAACATCAAAGGAGGTGTGGAAATGATCATTAGGGGTATATGTTTCGTCCTGGAGATTGAAAGCCGGGCTCCAAGGAAGAGCATCTTCAGAAAGACCTAAATGCTTAATGGGCGAGTTGACCATTTGCTGGATCTTTCGGCGGTGGTTTCTCAAGTTGGTATTGGGAGACACAGATGGTGGCGGCCGGGCAGGCTTCTTAAACTTGATGATAGGCGTCAACGGAGGCGGCTGCATGCTCACATATTGGCTGCGGAGAGGCGAAGAGCCGATAGGTGGGTTTGGGTTTTTGCGAGGCGCTGGCTGTCCAGGACTGACATCGTGAGATGAGCTACGCATGCGGGCGATCTCTTCTTCGGCACGGCCACGCTTGATGCGAGGAGGCTCGATATCCAAATCAGATGTCAAGATGTGCCCAGCCTTATTAGGTCTAAGAGCCGATGACTCCAAGGACGAGAAATAACCACTATCATTCATAGTAATCGATTTGCGCTTGCGCGGGCGAGGCACAGGGGTAGGGCCAGATTGAGTGGGAGTTGGAGGGGTACCCTGGCGGGCGAATCGGGGAGGAGCGATGGGAGGAGATGACCGGATAGTTTGCGGTGGCGAGGAACGAGGCGCTGCGCGGGGCGCAGGGACAGGAACAACTTCGCCCGCATCATCTTGAAGAGCAGGGTCAGACGCAGGCAGCGTAGCATCCGAAGACAAGTCATTTGGGGCCGGCCTGGGGGCAGGCGCGTGATGAGATGGTGCGTGATAAGCGGGCTGCGGCGGTACCATCCAGGTCGTGGTACTTGCAGTTTGCGACTGAGGAATCAGATCTCTCTGAGGCGCAGCAGGAAGAGGAAGGCTGGACATAGTGGCGCGGCGGACTTGTTTGTCTTTGAGGAATTGCGCCTCCATGCCAGGCTCAATGGCCCAATAGTTACCCTTGCCAGGATCATCCTTGGGTCGCTCTTGCTTAATGAATGCCTTGTTGAGACTGAGATTGTGTCGGATACTATTTTGCCAACCTGGGTCGCTGTTCTTGTAGTATGAGAAGGTATCCGAGATCCACTTGTAAATTTGCGCTAGCGTCAAGCGCCGGTTGTTGGCGCGCAAAATGGACATCCCGATCAAGGTAGCATAACTATACGGAGGCTTGGTGCCATCATCCTCCACCGGCGGCATGTCATGCGGTTCAGGTAGATAAGCAACTGACGCGTCATCCCGCCTTTGTTTCTTATTAGATCGCTCCTTGAGCGGCGCGGCCTCCATGAGTGTGCGCTTCATTGGAAGTTTCGATTCATAAGATGGCTCTGGGAAGTCCGCGAAACTGTCATTGGATGGCTCTTCGGGAAGGTTATTTTCTTTTGATGATTCGGGATTAACGCTGGAGAATGTGGTGAAAAGAGCAGAATGGGGCATGGAGGTTGTAGAGTAGATGGGGAACGGCGGTTTCTTGGCTGGGGAGTCGGTGGTAAACATGGGAGGAGTGGGAGCAGATATCGGGACGAAACCGAGTTTTCCGTGGCGCGAATGGGAGCCCTGAGGGCGAAGACCTTTTGTTGGCGATGGCCTGTGCGGGCCCGAAGACGGATGGGAAGACGAGTTCTGAATGGGCTGGAGTGGTAGCGGTGAAGGTTGTAGACGGGGCTGCGATCTGATGATCTCGTGGGCTGATGGGGCTAGCACTGAAGAGTAGTGTGCGCCCGTAGAACGCGTCGATCCCATAACCTAAAGGATAGGACACCAAGTCGCAATATCACCAGTCACTCGAGGGACCATATGACGCGTAAACAGACTTGGAGGGAAGAGCGCGACTGTTGAAAACAAGGCCTCCGGCCGAGTTTGCGACAACGAGCGAGCCGTGTCTGGGTGTGATGAGATTTTGCAGAGAATTCCGATTGGGCCAATGGTACTCCGTAGATCGAGAGGGAAAGCCAACAACCTCAGGCCGTCATGCAGGCTTAGACAAGTTGGGCGACAAGGCGCTAAGGCGTCACACTTCCCAGCTGAAGCGCGAATCAGGCCGCAGAGATAACAGATGAATGTGGATGAGATTTCGGATTTGGGAATGGAAAA